TTCAAAGTGTTCTTAACCAATGCGTACCGTTTCTTAACGTAGTACATCAGCATCGTATTCAACACGACGAGGAACACCAGCGGTATTACGACCACCAATGCGACGTTGGCTGCTCGCATCCATTTCACGTACTGCCGCAAGAGATGAGATGACGGAGTGGTGCTGTTCGCCTGCCACCTTGAATTACACAAAAATAAAAACGACCACTAAACGATAGAGAATGGCATAGTCAGTTTTGATCTATGGTGCGTCATGCATCTAAGTATCCTCAAAAATTAAACCGGATTCCATGGCAATGGTAGGGTCAGTTGCCTTGCCCGCCCTGCCCCTCTCCCCGACCTCCCTTGTCCAAAGGGTAGTAGAAGAAGTGAGTGCTAACAAGGCGGAATGTTCTCAGGAAAGCTCCAACATAAGCAGGGTAGCTTGTTAGGGTGAAATTCCAGACAAGGTGCAGTCTTATCCGCTGCGGATGATGGGGCGTGTCATTGTGGCTGGCTTTGGCGGCGCCGCCAGTTCGTTCTCCACCAGTTGTTGAAGCGGGTTACTTGTTGGAAAACGACTTATACGAGCGATTGGTTGCAGTCTTGGCGTGTGATCCCTTCAACATCTGCTTTGAAGCGAGTTTAGCGCCGTGCCAAACCCTTTTCTCCTGTCTTGATGCCCCCTTTTCTGATCACCTATCCTTTTAGTTTATTCTTTTTCACTTAACTATAAGAACTTCGAACAGTTAATCTTTTTCAGCAAAATCAACCTCTGTATTCGATAGAAATCAATGATTCGACCCATACCCATGGCTAGTAATGTCAACGCATTTCGCGATCCATTGAGTGTCGTGGCAGAAGACTTTCATGAAGCATTGCTGTGACACATGATAATAGCATGTGAGTGCTGCACAAGCTGACAACAGCAGCAACAACCCTGAAAAATTGGAAATCAACGCCAAAGAAAAGGATTGTTGGTAACACATTAGTCCACCCTTCCCGAGCCAATCCCAATTCTTTGTAGTTGCTCTCCCCTCAACAGCATAGTACTAAGGACTTGCCAGTTCTGGTCTCAGCGTGATGGTGGCCTGTTCACTATTATGTCGTGAAGTAGGATCGTGTAGACGAACTATTATGCAATTGTAAAATTGCTTAAAAAAAGTGAGAAGGTAGACTGCCAAGGCCAACAGGCGTCGCTTTGTATAGATGGCACGAAGCGGGACAGTGGTGACGGACGCGATCCTCGTATACCGAAGAGCACCCGTAAACCAGCGCCTGAAATAACAATTAGAGCGAATGGTTTCAAGTTGAGATCTTTCATTGAGTTGTGAGTTCAGGAAACAGGCGAGATTTTTCGCAAAAGCAAGTGCGTAATATCTTCTAAGGCACGCAGCACCCTTTAGTCTCGTGTGCAGCATCTGGCTACAGATGGGATTAGCGAAATGAAACGCTCTTGTTCTCAATTTCTGACCCTCATTCCTGATCGTCATGCCTTATTGTATGCATTCATGGGACCGACACCGACACGTTTAATTTCACGCGCATTTCTCGGGGGTACTGTATACCGCCTGCGCCTTAAACCTATAATCTAGTAGAAGCGTCAACGCAGAGGTTACGTTCATTTACACAGCTCATTCTTAGGACTGAAAGTACCACCACATACATATAAGCATTGTGAATTAGTGCTTTTCTGAAGATACAATAGGCGCCCGTCATGTGGGCGGAGAACGTCAACCGTTGTGCGTTCTTCGGTGCTTCCTTCCATCTAGGATGACAAAGGGGCATCAACGAGGAAGGCACAATGGTCAACTGTATCCGCCCACGCAATCCACCTTGAGGTTCTAACATTTCCAAGCTCTCATGGCTTGATGTCGTAATATCCTTTTCTTCCCAGTGAGTCATGCCTTAATTCTAAGGAGGCCCATCTGAAAGGTACTATAGCTTTCAAAAACGCACTCAAAACATCAGCTGATCACGTAGGTTCGTAAAAGTCAAATGGGGACTCGATTGAGGACATGGGGATATAAAAGGACCAGTTTCAGTGCCGCCTTCCAAAAAGGCTCACACGATTGACGTCAGACAGGTCGCGCACTCGGAAGGGTTAATTAGCTTTTTATCATTTATCCTCTTGATCACTATATCGTTGCCGTCTTGTTCGCTGCGATTTATGGAGTAAGTCAGGAGGATGGGTTTGGCGCAATACCAAACCGTTCCTTTTCTTCATTTTTCTTTCGACAAGTAACGAGATTGTATGGTATCGTTCGCATCAGTCGTTTCCCATCAGCAGTGGTTGTCGCTTACCCTTATCAACAACTGGTGGAAAAAGGCTGGCGGCGCGCCAAACCTACCGCACTGGCACACCCCATCTTTTACAGCAGAAAAGACAGTAATCATTTCCGAACAAGTTATCCTAGATCTTACCACGTTACTGCCATTCGCATAATGCCCTTCAGTGCCACCCGTATGCACTTTTTAAGACTATATTCCCACTCCGTTGATTGAGGAAATCATGTTCGACGCCGATGCGCTATGGCGTCTGCCTCACTATATCCGCTTCCATTGCGGATTCTCGCGTATCTCATGATTGAGCCCCAGTAATAGACCAGAAGGCCGTGTACACAAATGAAGCACTTTCGGAAGCCGAAGCACTAGAATTTTGGCGCTATATCGTCCTTTTTGGGATATACTCACTCCACTTCCAATTAAAAACGTGGTGGAGTTCAAAGGCATTTTTACTTTTATACAGATTACTAACAGTTCATTGACATAAAGGGGCCAGCCGATGTACAAATCAGCGCTTTTTATGTCAGAAGAACCTAATGCTAACTATCTGATACCCTTTTGGTAAGAACGAATAGGCAATA